GTGCCGCCGTTATTTACACTAGACTCAACTATTTCACACTAATGACGTACCATTATGAAAAACAATGTTCACCTCTCCTTTCAGGATCATTCGAAAACGTTCTGTTAACTATATACCGTCGTATGAGGTGGAATGGAAGCGGCTAAGTACGTTTTTCTTACTAATTATTAGCCTGGAATTCAGACAGTTTGTCTTCGCATCTAACTTATTTCCTGTTCTCTATCCTTACTGCATGAATGGTCGTTGTAGGCAATGACATCTGGTCCGAAGATGCCCTTGTGACGCCCCCATCAACTAGTGGAGAGTTGAGTGCGTGCCTATCTGCGTTTTTCACTCAGGAAGGCTACAAGTTTTCCGTCCCAGCCAGTGAGCTAAGACTAGCCTTTCCTGATCTCGTTACCGTCTACGAGGCAATCGGACTGTTAGGCATCTCTACAAACTTTAAGGGTCTGTCTCTTGACGGCCAAAAGTCAAAAGAGACCCGAAAAAATTCGCTTACTGCTAAGCGAACCACGAAGAGGACCAATCACTTGACACAGGTCGACTCCCCAAATTCAGACGCGAATGAAAATGATACAATGGTGACCACAGCCAAAGCAGTTGGCCGTCATAGCTTTCTGTTCGCCTGGGATTCGACGCCCGAATCATCGCCTCAGCCAAAGAACCGCAGGTAAATTTTGTCAAATCTTTAACACTGTAAAGGGAGTGTTTTGTGAGTTGATCTGGAGGCCTTTCAATGTATTGTGCCTTTTTGTAGCCCCAGCCCTCGTGTTGCTGCTCTGAGGGTTTCTACTGAAAACCATCCTTCCACTGCCACGAATTTGATCGAAGAAGAAACCACTTGGTACTTGCCCGTCCACATCAACACTGCATTTGAGCGGAGAATTTCTCTTCAGTCCTCGCTCCTCTCCTTCACACCTTCCTCACCCTCTGCTGACCAATCCGATGACTTCGCCTGTTTTCAAACCCCTCCCCGACTTACAGACAGATTGAAATAACCTTGCCTTACACTCTTTTTACCCTCTCGACTATCAGAACTCCCTTTCCTGCCCACTATTTATCTCAATATTTTTCTACGTTTTGACATTTTGAAGCGGAAATAAAAACACATTTTGTTTTACAATTTAGTTTTTATAATGTATCCAGTAATCTTCGAAGCATTTGCACTTTTCCTCGTAACTTCAAAATGCCTCAACTAACTACAACAGCTGCAAACTCTAATGAAACCAATATTTTAGTCGCTCCCTTAACATCGTGCATTGCGTCCCAGTACGCACAGTTCTCGTCAATTTATAATTCCTCTTGAACTCTGCATACTGGGTACCTTTTCATGTTCTAATAGTCAGATCGATTGATTCAAAACGCGTGCAAGTAATGAATCAGACTGTTGTCATCATTTTTCGAGGTGATGAAGTATCTGGAAATACCTAAACAACCGAACTACCGATTAAAAATCAGTAGTCTTAATCC